AAATAAGTCACTAAATGCAACGTAGTATCCTGGATTATATCCTGGAAAATCAAAAGGTTGTTAGTGGAAAAACCAGTGAAATCTTAATAAAGACTAGAGTTTATTTACCTGAGTAATGTGCCAATGTTAATATCTTAGTTTTGACAAATGTAACATGGTTATATGTAAGATGTTACTTAACTCAGTTTCCCTCAGTGCTAAATGGGAACTCTGTACTATTTTTGTAACTTTCTGTAAATCTAAAAGTATGCCAAAATAGAAAGTTTATTTAAAAAGTGAAAATAAGGGGCCGGCCCGGTGGCGCATTGCTACAGTGCGCCGCTTGGGAAGTGCGGTGGCGCTCCCGCCGAGGGTTCGGATCCCACATACAGACTGGCCGCTCACTGGCTGAGCGAGGTGCGGGAGCAACACCGAGGGTTGCGATCCCGTTGCCGGTCACGAAAAAAGACAAAAAGAAAAAAAAAAAAATAAGTGAAAATAAGAGCAGAAAGCAAATGTAAAATAAGAAAAAAAAAAATCAAAGCCAAAAGATGATTCTTTGAAAGATAACTTTTTTTGAGTTTATAAATTTTATTTATTTCATGTCACTCTTTTGCTCAAAATCCTGTTTACTATCTTACTCAGTAAACTTCAAAGGCCTAAGTGTGGCTTCAAGGCCCTGCACAGTCTGACCTACTGCCTCTCCGATCTGGCTTCTTACACTTTCCTTTTTCATTTTTCTGGTTGATTTTCTGCCAGTTATTCTCCCCACTGGGGACTGTTGTGCTTGTTGTTCCCTCTGATGCTCTTCCCCCAGATATATGCATGACTTACCCTTTCACTCCATTAAGGCTGTGGTTGGATGTCATCAGGACCATCTTCACTGACCATCTCACCTAAAATAGTGACTCTCTATCATATTTACTAAGCCTCTTCCCCCGTTCTTTTTGCGGCTGGCCAGTATGGGGATCCAAACCCTTGACCCTTTATTTTTTACAGCTTTATCAAGATATAATTTATATACCATAAAATTGACCCATTGTATGCATATAATTCAGTGATTTTTAGCAAATGCATAGAGTTGTACAATTATCACCACAATCTAGTTTTAGAACATTTTTATCACTCTGAAAAGTTTCCATGAACTAATTTGCAGTTGATCCCTACCCCCAGCCCCAGCTCCAAACAACTACTGATCTGGTTCCTGTCTTATAGATTTACCTTTCCTGGACATTTCATGTAAATGGAATCATACACAATGTACGTTTTTACATCTGGTTTCTTTCACACACCATACTGGTTTTGATGTTTATCCATGTTGTAGTATGTTCCTTTTTTATTCCATCATATGGCTATTCTGCATTTTGTTCATTCACCAAATGATGGACTTTGGACTTAAATTTATAGTTTTTGGTTATCATGAATTATGCTGCTATAAACATTCATGTATAAGACTTTGGGTTGATATGTATTTTAATTTCTCTTGGGTAGATTTTAGGGATAGGTTAAGAAGTTGCAGGAGTTTTGATTGCTCCAGGCCTTTAGTTCTAGAGATAAGATGTTAATACATTTTGCTAAAATCAAGTTAGTGTGGCAGCAGGAGTTTTCAGGCAAGGAATAATGGTTTTATTTAATATTCTAGGAGGAATGGGAAAGAGAGCTGACCAAGGGCAGGTAAAAGGAATGTTAACTGGCATAGAGGTTCCTGCTGAAATAGAATGGGCCGGCCCGGTGGCGCACTGCTACAGTGCGCCGCTTGAGAGTGCGTTGGCGCTCCCGCCGAGGGTTCGGATCCCACATACAGACCGGCTGCTCACTGGCTGAGCGAGGTGCGGGCGCAACACCGAGGGTTGCGATCCCATTGTCGGTCCCGGTCCGGTATGGGCGCGACACGTGACACTGAGGGTTGCGATCCATTGCCGGTCACGAAAAAAGACAAAAAGGAAAAAAAAAAAAAAGAAAACTGTTGAATCTGTATGGCTGTGAGATTTTCTTAGAAGTGCTCAGCTTCCTGGTAGAAGCAGCAGAGAAGAGAAGTCTCTGAGCTCAAAGAACAGTTTGGTCAGAAAGAGGGTGTGAGGGCTGGAAGCAAAGGAGGTTATGATGAGAGTATGATATTGTACTTAAGGTTCTGATAGGGTACAGTTTTGAGGTTGAAGATACTATGAATTTTCCACAGGGACATGTATGTAATGGAGGCTTTTATTATAGGATGTAGGGTGGAAAGATAAATATTCAGAGCAAAAATATGGTATGTAGTGGGGGAAATGACCACATGGTAGTAGGAAGTTATGTCAGTTGTGGGCCAGTCAGTAGACAGAAACTGTATTAGTTATTTAAGTAGGGAAATTTAAAGAGTCATTAATTAGTAAAATATGGTTACTCCTAAAGAGGTAAAGAGGACTCAGGCAGCAGTTGGCATACTGTGGCTTACACATCAAATCTGGCCTGCTGCTGTTTTTGTAAATAAAATTTTACTGGACCACAACCACAATCATTTGCTTATGTATTATCTTTGCATATTTTTATGCCTTAATGGCAGAGTTGAATTGCAACAGATATTGTGACCCATAAAGCCTAAAATATTTACTAATTGGCCTTTTAAAGAAAAAGTTTGCCAACCCTGCTCTAAAGGATCCAGAAATAGCAGGTGCAAAAAAGCATCTCTCACCTCTAGGGTGAAGAAAAATGGTCACTGGAGGAACTCAAAGGACTTATGGTAAAGCCTCTCTCCAAACCCTAGGCTGAAATTGAGCCCCTTTGAAGAGGGTATGGCTATAATTGGAACACACAGGATGCCTATGGCAAAGAAACTTGCTAGAGAACTTTATCCAGAGCTTTTAGATAGGTAGAGCATGGACTAAGGGTGTAGCTACAGCTGGTCTTTGAGGACCACTGGGCTCCCACACTGTATAAAAAGAAAAAATGGAGGATTGGAACCCACATGGGAAATGTCTTCTTGCTGCTGTTGTCTTGGAGTGTCCTCTGTTAACAAAACCTAATGTGCCAGCTGGCAGAGAGAAATGTTCATAAGGTCTAGCTCTAGTATCACAAAGTAGAGCAAAAGAAGGGCAGATTTGGAACTGATAAACAATAAATAGACAACTGGCACATAAAAAATGATAGAGAGTAGTATAGGAATATACCATGAGCCTCAAAACTGGAAAGGTTTTTGCATGAAGGAAGAGAAAAAGGAAGAAATATAGGTCAAGTAAAAAAAAAAATGGGGAGCTAGAAAACAAGACCTTCAGGCCCTTAGGACTGCAGGGCAATTAGATGTTTGAGAAAATGAGATGGTTTCATTTAAGCTTGAAGGTGAATGGGAACATTTGGTTTATGGTAGCTAGCACTCAAGGGTGGAAAAATTTAAATTTTTAAGGGATGCTATGCTATTGAGTTTCAGCCCATTCTAACAGTACTTGGCAATCAAAGTTTGGCGTAAATGTTTTATGAATTAATTCATTATATAAGAGTGTTTCTTAATGAGATATGTACTTCTCATTAAGAGTAAGGAAGGGGGCCGGCCTGGTGGCGCACTGCTGTAGTGCACCGCTTGGGAAGCGCGGCGGCGCTCCCACCGAGGGTTCGGATCCCACA